AGATAGTAGACAGGTGAGGCGATGCTGATCCAGAGAGAGCCTCAAATTAGTAAAACTGGCCTCGCATTTTATTTTATCCCAGCTTTTGTTTTGATGTGTCTAGTGGGATAGAAAGGTAATTCTTGGGTCCAGACGCTGCAAGCTTGTTCGAAAGAACTACCCGAGAAACACTGAGACGATCCACCGAGTATCTCGTCAATTAATTCGTGACTAAAATAACTAATGTGATTTCAGGCATTACTGTAAATCAGTTGGCAAATGTTTTCCGTAAACTGCAAAATCGTATTACCCTTTGTATTGCTAATAATGGAGGACATGCGGAAATTTAAAAAAAAATTCATTTTTTCTAATCCTTTTTACAAATTATTTCTATCACAAATACAAATAAAATTATAAATTTTTTAAAGTGCATACGAACTTTATGGACACCCTGTATTTTCCAAACAAATTTCATCGATTGGTTTGCGAAATTGAAGGAAACGTAGAGTTTGTAAAATCGCGACAAAAAATGTTGGCGGCAACTCCAAAATTTCTGAATACTGTGAGAATTTCAACACGCTTAAGCGTGTGGCAAAAAAATTTAGTGACTAATAAATCAATCATTTCCAAACTTTTGTCTTGAACTCATAGAAGTCCTGCAGGTCTTCTAATCTCTTCAAAAGGTTTTACAGCGAATTATGGAATTTAATTGATAGCACTTTTGAGGTTGTTCAATGTGTATACGATGGCTGTTCGTCCAATGTCTATTGAATCGTTTTCATATTATTTAGTGTCTGCTTCCAAAGCTGTTAACTTGCGCTGTCAAACTCCGATATTGATATGGAGTATCTGAACCGTCAGCTGTATACAACCGATTTCTCAGATCAATGGTTAAAAAATGACTTGGAGTGAGTGAAGCCTGTGGTTGTTGACAAAGACAATCTTCCTTCGAACCTTGTAGATTGGCAATGCAGAATCACAAGGAACTGTACCAGATAACAGAACTTGAGGGCTTCTAACAGCAGCAACAACTAAAATGGATATCACATATAACTCCAAGAGAAAATGACATAATCAAGATATTGATATCCCACACGACTTCAAAGTTAGGAAGGAAACATTAAAAAAAGAAAAAAAAATTCGATAAAAGATACGAGATTTTGAGAAACCTATTTACCTGAAAAAATGTTTTAAAAAAAAGATTTTATAGATTTTAGCAGACAGTAGCACTGGCTGTTCGGTCAACAAATGCTGAGTGTTTCCTTGTAAGGAACTGGCTAATATTACCATTACCGGTTGTTATATCCTGGATTCTTTAAACAACGGATTTCTAATTAGTTTCCCTTGTTAGTGATGACAGGCTAATTCGTCAAATCCCTTTGATTAATAACATTGATCATTTCGTGGGCTGCAAGTGAAGGCTATAAATCCTGAACTTGTAAAACTCCCAGCAAAGTTAATTTAAAGCATATCAAAAGATCGATAGAGCCCGAAAGATATCGATCGTTCGAATGCCAGTCAATAAGTCAATATTCCACATACAGAAATAAAAGGAACACTGTTTCTTTTCGTATGACTATTAAAGAAACATAGCTAACTTACTAAACACGACTAACAAGTTTCTGTATGAATTTCTAGGAAATAGTATTGTTACTATTATTTAAGTGATATGTCCCTTCATGACATAGGCGATCATGGCTTTCCACAGATTTCTTTTAATTATTATAAAGAGATCGGTTTGCTGTTGTGTTCCCAACTCAGTTTTCTTTCTCAAAGGCTGGTTGTCATCAAAGTCTAGACAGCCTAATCTATCTCGCTATTTAAACCCTATCTGCAAAAGAGGAGATGTCAAGAAATTTTGAGCATCCACTCAAAGAGTAATATAAATAAACGGCTAGTGCATGAAAGATTACCATACATAAATAAAACATAAATGCAATGGAGATAAGTAGTGAAACAAATTACATATATTGCAGAAAAAAAAAAATTGGCGTATGAAACACTATAATTCTTTTGAATATGTTTCTTCATCTTTACCATTATCTCAAGGTTTCGACGATTCTTTGTAGCGGTCTTCAGATAACTGCCACAGTCAGAAACTTTATAAGAAAGTAACGGTAATTTTAGACATATGGTAAGATCGTCGTGGCATCATTCATTTAGAGTTCTTACCACGCAGAGAAACACTAAATGCACATTTATACGTTCAGCAGTTGCAACGTGTCCATAAATGTTTGGTAGAGTAGAAAAGCGCCCTGAGCTCGTCAATAGGGGAAAATGTTGTTCTCCTCTATGACAACACAAGACCGCATATTGAAAAAAATAACACAAGAAATTTTTTTCTGTTCTACCCCTCCCTGCCATATTCACCTGTCCTTACACCAACCGATTATTAACTTTGATATAGAAAGCTTTCTCTAATGAAAAACAAATTCAAGAGGCTGTCGAAACTTTTTCGCATCAATACCTACAGAATTTTGCACAAACAGTATCTGTCTGTATTTCTGAGATAAGGTGTTATGTACACTATTTAGATTATTCGGACTATTGTCCTCATCCTTGTCGCCATATTTATTATAAAGTTTCGGCCGTTGTACTCTCCAGCCTTCTTCAGGTGGTTGGAATTTCGAACTGAACACTTTATTTCACTCTCTGGTGTAGACTGTTCTAGTTCCACGTGCCATGTTTAATGGGTGTCAGTTATCACCTGTTAATTCCCCCTCTCCAATTTCTCCACTGCATCAACCGGGTATTGAACTAACACTCTTTTGGTCCTGTCACTGGATCTAACTAAAGCCTTTATCCACTGTGCCATGTGTCCTTGCACAAACAGTATCGAAGAACTGCCTCTAAGCGACAGCAAGTCATCGCAAATAATTAATGTACCTTATTCTTTAAAGTTGATAAACAAAAACGGAAATTATGACTCCAAATAAAATGGATAGGTGTTTATAGCGAATTTCCAAGCGTAGCTTAGACGTGGCACAAGGCCGAAATTATGGGGAACCCAGTGAGGATCGAACTCACTGCTCAGTCATTATTTTAGTGAGACAAGTTTGCTAACCATTACACCACAAATTCTTCTTCATGACAACGCAAGCGTAACATAGAAAAAAGGAATTGTGGAACACAGTTGACCTGTTTTACCCCCCCCCCTCCAATATCAACTGACTTTGCATGAAATGACTATTGATTTTTTTTCTCGATCTAAACAAAACGCTTTGATGCGGGTGAAAACTTTATGCCATGATAATCAGATTAAAAAGTTCATCGAAAACTTTCACATCAAAATTTACAGAATTTTACTGAAAAAGTTTCAAAGATCTGCTTGAAAAAAGGTAACAAGTAATTGCAGATAATTGTGAATGATTAATTGAACGAAATATAAATGTATGTTATTAAGTTTATTCATCAATCAGTAAACATTTATGACTTAACCTTATATATGTCTATATATTTCTGAAATGAGGTATTGTAGCATTTTACGCTGTTTGTACTGTTGTCCTCATCTTTATTGCTATATTTATGACGTTTCGATTGTTGTAAGCTCTGGCCTTTTTCATGTGATATTTGTTGGAATTTCGAAACGAACGCTTTATTTAGCGTAAGAGGATAAAATGTTCTAATTTAACGCGCCACATATCATCTGAAGAAGGTCGGAGCGGACAACGGCCGAAACGTCGGGAATATGGTAATAAAGATGGCGGACACCAGTCCGAACAATGTAAATAGCGTAATACGAGAGAGAGAGAGAGAGAGAGAAAGAAAAAAAGAGAGTGAGGCAGGGACTGAGAAAATAAGAGAGAGAGAGTAAGAGAAAATAAGAGAGAGAGAGAGAATAAGAGAAAATAAGAGAGAGAGAGAGAATAAGAGAAAATAAGAGAGAGAGAGAAAGAGAATAAAAGAGAGAGAGTAAGAGAATAAAAGAGAGAGAGTAAGAGAATAAAAGAGAGAGAGTAAGAGAATAAAAGAGAGAATAAGAGAATAAAAGAGAGAGTAAGAGAGAAAGAGAGAGAAAGAGAGAGAGGGAAGGGGGAGAGGGAAGGGATTAGAGAGGGAAGGAGGAGAAAGAGAGAGGGAGAGGGAGGAGAGAGAAAGAAGGAGGGAGGGACATACGTTGTTTCATATCTATAGATCATTTATTCAAAGGGTTTCCTTGCCTTTTCACGAGCTGTCTTGTGTTTTTATGATTGAATTACCTCCCTCATATCTTATCGTCACATTTTCTTTTATTATTTCTCTCTTTTTTTGTTTTGCCTACGAAGTGGGCTAGTGAGCGAAATAGTCCCAACTTTTGCAGGCCAGGAATGACTTGATCACTTGTCTATCACTTTGTCCGGCTGAACTATATCAGCTGATGACAATAAGCATTGTAGCAACAATTGTTTATCTTTGAACATCGGGAGCATCGAAAAATTCAGCAGGCTGCGCTTCTATGACTCGATATCATTGTAGATAAGAATTCAAGCGGAGACCTTTCGATCATTAGTCGAATGCTAAACTAGTTCGGCTTATGAATGACAGTTTTCTTTTTATGCTTCCCCTCACCATTACCTCCCATTATCATTGGTTTATTATTAACTCCTTTTTTTACTTTATCGTCTTCAGCCTTATCTTTCTTTTGTTTGATTCGAGTTATTGTTTTCTTCCTACGTCAGCTTTCCTCATTTTCATTTTATTTTTTGGCCTATTAACATCCCTTTACAAAACGTCTGGCAAATTCTATTCAAATTTAATCTATTAAACCCTATAGCAATTTTATTCTTTATATTGGAGTTTTTCTTCAGAAGGAAACTGAAGCCTCTCTCTCTATTCTATTGCTTCTCACGTACTTGTAGACAAGACTATTATTACTCCTATAGTCGATATGAATTCTTTAAAAACGATGAAAAAATAAGAGACGTGGATGGCAGAAGATAAAGACTACATAACAAGTTGATTGTTTTTTAAGGCTTATAACGAACCCGACTTGAATTGGAACTCGGCTCTCCGATTAACAATCCTGAGTCATTATAACCACCCGCACATGGTATTCCCAAGCTATTACCCATCTAGGTGGTGACCAGGCTCGATGTTGCTTAACTTCGGTTTTCGTAGGGGAACTGGTATTTCAACGTGATGTGGCCGTAAGCTTATGACACAGAAACATAATTCGGATTGTAGGTTTATTTACAGTATCCAGTATTCTCAAGCGGTTCCGCATCTAAAACTGACCGGGCACGACACTGTTTAATTTTGGTGATCGAAAACCACAGTAACCAAGAATTTGATTGACGGTAAACAAAAGTAAATCTTGCCTAAAACAAAACTGCTTACAAGGTTGGATGTTGGTAAATGATGGACAATATTAACAAGGAAAAAAATAGATGAGAAAAAAAAGTTAAAAAACAAACATAGAGAGTAAAAAAGATATAAACAAACAAACATTACTGTTTTTGCATCCTCAATTGTTTTGTTTGGACCATTTTTTAAAAATCGGTATCACCCCATGAAAGGTAGTCAAGCCACTAAGACAAAGGGGGTTACAGGGTGTGGAAGAATTAGGAACAGAAGCAATAATGATGAGCAGAATGAGAAGAGAGTTGTCAGGAGGACAGTACAGAGCGATTGACATTGCAGATTAAAGTTATCTGGAAAGCATGGAGCCAGAAGAGAGTTCCTCAAGCAAGAAGTGTGAGAGAAGAAACGGTTAGCATAGAATTTACGGCTACATCTACCCAGCTTAACTGTAAATTGATGAGATCTCGACGCCAGTCAAGTAATGCGATTAAATTAAGAAACTATAGGGGCCATAGCCAAAAGCGATATTTATTCTGCTATATACAGAAATGCAGCAAAAGGCCAAAATGGGGAATGGGGGAAAAGGACGGTCTTCTGTCTTAGCTTTAAATTTAGCTAGCCACAAGCACTGACCCAAACATAACACAATATTCCTAGCACCACGACAATGCATTCTTACTTACCTTTCTTACTACATGCACCATAATACCTCATTGTCTCTATGAAAATCTTAACTAGTCCCCTTATGTAAAATTCATTGTCTGTGGGGAGAGGGTAATAAAAGGACAATTTCAAAACTAGCCCCAATGAGTATTAACAATAAGAAACAAAATTATTTACAAGGAACTAAAAAAATAAATAGCGAAGAGCTGATTCAAACAATTATCATGAAAGTATTTATAGAAAAGACATAGAAAGGCAAAGTGGGAGAGTCACTGAAGCCGAGATACCAGATCAGGACCAATAATATTGCTGATTATTCTCTGGATTTTATCAAAGAGCTGAAGGTAAATAGAAGGGGCACCGGACCATATGTGACAGCAATATTCTAAGTATGGACAAATAGTAGACTTATAGATATGTAATATAGATTCTGGAGAGAAAAAATTGAACCAACTTTCTTAGCAGCTGACCTAGCAATGGATTCAATATAGTCTTTCCAGCTGAGAATGTGGGCCCGAGAAAACGCAACGAGTCACTTTCCTGGAGGTTAGCATCAGCCATGCTGATGGAAGGTCAAAAGAGGTCTCTCAGATAATTTAATAAAGAGAAGGTTAGTTTTGTAGGCATTAAAATTAACAAACCATCATTTGCCACAGTTAACGATACTCTTGAGATCGTTTTGAACATCGGCTGCCATTTTGACCACGTCGCACTAACATGCCTTACTATAGAGGCAAGATTAAATTGTCGTGTCATCTGTGTAGATACCAAGTTGAGAGCTGATGTCACCAGGAAGGTCATTAATGAATGTTAAAAAAACAGAGTATGACCAAGGATGTATCCCCGAGGAACACACGCGTTAGTATGAAAGGATCTAGATGAGTGGCCGTTCAAGATAACTTTCATGTCACGATTTGATATGAAAGACTTGATCAGTTCAAAAAGTGCTGGGAGACACCGTAACTTTTCAGCCTGTGGAGAAAACTTGAATACCAGACACTATCAAAGGATTTCGAGATGTCCAATGCTATATCCCGAGCTTCGTCGTTTTTGTCTAGTGCAATTATCGTCAGTACATCAGCTATTGGGGTAAAAACAAAGATGAATATACTTATTTTTGATGCGTGAGGGTTAAGGATTCACTCCATTTACACATGTTTATTTCTACTATGCAACACCAAGTCAGAGTAGATATTGCGAAAGAACCGACAGTTTTTGCAAATTCATGGAACTTGACTTGGATCCTTATTTACGTGACCTCGTCTCAATTCATTCAAGTGCTCCATTATAGACTTTACGTGAAGATTTTATTCCAGTATTGTAACACTATCTCCAGTAGTTACAACTTTAGACATACTCTATGTTTTCTGGTTTTATTTCAACTGATCTTTGAGTTTATCGCGGAAATGGCCTGGCAACATTGCGCTGACGAATCGCGAAGCTGACTGTACTTTATGATTTTTGGAAGTGTATGATCATTAATTCTTATAACATCGGCCACATAACATGTGAAGCCTCATGTACAGGTATATCATTCCAAGTTTATATTCATTTGTTTTGTCTGCTAGATTTGTACCGATTGGGACTTTGACCATCTTTAGATACTCACATCTCGTAATCATCGCCTGTTCGCACCAATCTGCCCTGTGCTCTTTGTTCAAACTTTCTAATCTGCTTTTCTTCGAACCTATCAATTGCCCTTATATATTATTAACAGTCTAACAAAGTTAATTGCATATGAAAACAATTCCTGGTCCAAAGTTTGGCATAGAAATCACCACTTGCAAATCTACCATGTCATTGTCTGCGCTTCAGAATGCTTTTCGTTCTCGAAGACTAGGAACTCGTTCAATGGCGCCATCAGTCATTGCCCATTATCGTGAATTGATTGTTCGAAATGTTCTACAGGCAATTCATGTAGAATTTGAAACATTTAAAACGTTTGTGAACTCTGACTGCAGTCTGGGGGTGAAGCATCGTCTACAAGGGCGAATGTTTTGTGAAAATATAGTCCTGGGTATGACGATAGACTACATCCGGCAGCAGGTTTTGCGGAGCGTGAACCACATCTTAATAGCTGTTGTTCCCAGGTCTACCTGACCCGGGGATAGCAACTATTAGAGTCCCAGCTGTTGGCAAATAGTGAACCCCCAACAAAAAACAAAACACTATCAAAGTAAAAAAATACATTTTTATGGTAACGTTACCAAAAATGCATATTTATTGTAAAATGCATTTAATCTGTAGTTGAAAGCATACAGTTGCATTGAAAATATTTAGTTGAAGTCATAAAATTGTGTTCAAAATATTTAGATTTCGGCATTAAATAACCCATAGTGGTGTTGATATACCTCTAAACCAAATCAACCAAACAAACAACTAAAGAAAAAACTAAAAAGAAAGAACTATCATGACATTAATCCATATAATTCCCTACAAAATCAAACTGCAATCCAAAATATAATTTCAACTAAACTACAACATAAAACACACATATCACTGCCTCTAGTAATCATGACTAGACAAACATGTATATGCACAAAAGCTGAGTATCATCTTCAATATATTCAATTGCGAAAGCAAATAACATTTTTATTACTTCCAAATCCTAAGAAAATTAAATTTCGGCATGATTTCCTGCTTCCTGGAAATCATCTTCCTGTCTTTAAGAACTTCGGTAAACTGTCTGATCTTTCTCACTGTCCTTCTATTAAGCATCTATCGCTTCTTGGCGAAGTACTAACGACTAATTACTTCTGAATTGGTTAAGCATCTCACATCAGGGTCTTCTTTCAGACAAGCAATATGGCGCTTCGCTTCTTTACGTCAATTGCTGAGGTGTTAACGGATATCGCTGTTAAGCTTTAGATAAAACATGTTGAAGTTCGGATCATTATTTTCATTATCTTGAAGGCGTTTTACAGGGTTTGGCAAGCTAGTCTTCTTCAAGTTGAAAGGTTATATTTCTGGAAGAAGTTATTTATGAAACTGCGAATTCAATGTGGTCTTAAACGCCTACTTTCTAGTGTATTCTAGTATTTATACCGGTCTTAATGGTATGTCTAATCGAATCAATAATGTCAAATTGGCAGCAGAATTAACCTACAACTTATTAACTTGTACAAGAAAAGATTTGTTAATTTTAACGGTTTCAAAACGAAACTGCTCTCTTTTGATTGCCTGAGAGAATATTTTGGCCTTACATTAACATGGCTGATGCTAAAGCCTAGAGAGTGTCTCACTGGTTAATATGTTTCGGTGACATCAAATGAAAAGATTATATTGAATCAATTGTTAAGTCCACTGCTAGGAAAGTTAGTTCAGAGTGGTGTGATAAATTCCCACGAGAAAAAATTGCCTATTTTGCGCATAAGTCTACCGTACGTTGATGCATTAAATACTGTAGTCACACCTGGTTTGGTGCTTCTTATATATATTTAGTGATTCTTGATGTAATACGAAGAAGAGTTTGAAATTGGTCCTGAAAAGAACTTTAGCGACGGATCTTATGCAACAGTTCTACTGAGTCCTGATAGACGATCAAAGCAAGATGCTTCAATGAGAATGCAACCATTCAAGACAAGAGAATATTCTGGGATGAATCATGCGTAGCTAAGTTCCTTCCGATTGAGCTGTTAGAGCTAAACCAAAGTGAACCCCTCAAGAGCGTTTAACAAAGTACATTACAAAGAAATGTTAGAACTGCTTTATAAGCCTGGTATGTTTTGGAAGGATATAAGAATAATCCAAAACTTATACTGGGAGCTAACCGACTGCATACGGATAGAAAAAGAATTCGGTAAGTATACAAAAATAGAAAAGAAAGTACAAAAAGGACGTCTATTCTCACTGGAATTTCAGGAAAAGCAGAAGGAAAAGGAGAAGCAAAAGAAGAAGCAAAAGAAAAAGCAACACCAAAAGCAGAAGCAAATGAAGAAAAAAAGCAAAAGAATAAAAAGAATTAAAAGAAGAAGCAAAAGAAGCAAAAGGATAAGCAAAAGAAAAAGGAGATGCAAAAGAAGCAAAAGAAAAGAAGAAACAAAAGAAAAGGAAGAAGCAAAAGAAGCAAAAGAAAAAGGAAGAAGCAAAAGAAAAAAAAAAAAAAGTAAAAAGAAAAGAAAAAAAAAAATAAAAAAAAAAAAAAAAGAAGCAAAAAAAAGGTGAAAAAAAGAAAAGAAAAAAAAAAA